AGAGAAGGTAAAGAATTTTTTGAAATATGTGACCAAGATGTAATAAAAATTTTCCGAAAATTTGTTTTATATGATTAAAATTTGGATAAATTAAATTTTCATTTGATGCAAAATTCTAAGTCAGGGTGTCGACAAAATTTTATTTTCAAAATCCCCTGATTTTTCCCTGATTTCCAGTTTTTCCCTGACTTGCGACCACCCTGGAAGTTAATTGAAATTGATTAAATGAATATAAATTGCTTAAAAATTATAACAAATTTAATTGAACTAAAATTTGATTACAGTATTAAAACTGGACGTATTAAAATTAAATTAGAAATGAGATTTATCAATATAAAAAATTCAAATTATAATACATAGAAATTAACTTTAATTAAAATTTGTTATTATTATTATGTGTGTTTTAATATTATGATTAATAAAATTAAAAATTAAATGATAATATAAATATGCATCAATAATTATATAAATCAAATAATTTAAATAATGAATTAATTTGAAACCTATTAATAATATTCTATAATACATTCTATAGTGCTTTGTGTATGTTCTCCGCTGGACATTTTTGCTCCGCTCGACGACTTTACAGCGAAATACTCCGCAAGCGACTTTGTGTTCTTTTTACGTTGTATTTGCGATAAAAAAACTTCACAAGTGCATTTATTAACAGAGATTGTTTAAATAATTAATTTTTTTTACACAATTAGAAAAAGCACATGCTATTTACCTTAATAAAGATATTTTTATTAATGAAAAATGAGCTCTAAATGAAGTTTTTAACGCAAACGGTTTTTCTCAAATATCTCCGTTGGACCTGTTTGTGGCTTATGTGTCTTTTTCCGTTGTAGGGCAGAGCCAAGGGGTTAAGAAAACAGTATAATAGTCGGTGGAAGAAGTATAACTATATTTTTTAGCTTCAATTGTTAATTTGTTTATAAAATTGTTTATAACATTTTGATTTTTCAAAAAAATAGAAATTTCTAATAATTAAAATACATATTTAACAAAGTTACTATTTTAAAAAAATTGATTGTTAATTGCTAAAGATCTTCCTTAATATAATTAAATTAGTATAATTATTCATTAATATGATCAATATCATTGCTCTAGCTTGTGTTTTTTTTGACTAATAATAGTAATGCTTAAGAGGAAACAAAAATTGAAATAATAGTTTCCAACCACTTGAGTAAATAAATTTGAAAGGGAATTTAAAATTATTTTCATTTAAGACATAAGCTTCTCTCATTTGGATTGTCTGCAGTTTATACATATGTACTTTTGTCTCTATGGCCTTTATTCGTTTTACGAGCTTTGCCTCCTTAAAAGTAGTACATACCGAATTTTCAAAAGGGATTTTCTCTTTGTTTCCAGAAGCCGTACAAAAATCAACATTAAGAAGCATAAATACTTCAATTATTCAGAGAATATAACATACTTCATAATTTATTATTAGTCATATTGAAGGCTGATTCTTATAAATTTGAATTTTTTTACAGAAAATTCTGGCCTTTTGCGCAGTGAAATATAATTAAAATATTTTATAAATAAAATAATCGATTACTTGAAGTAAATATTTAATAAATATTTACTTCAAACAAACAATTTTTATTTAAAGAAAATAAATTATTAGGAGAGTGTGTCCAGTTGTGAATAAATGTTATTATTTAGTATATAATAATATATATTATTAATATATTTAATTATATCTACTAAACATAACGTTTTATGTCAAACTTTTAAATTTTAGCAATTTTTAATAAGTGTCTCACAACTGGACATATTTTTCTTGACAAAAGCGATGTGCTCGTAAAATTGATCATAACTTTTTTTGAGTCCATCTGAACACTATACTTTCTTTGAATAAAAGTTGCATATTTAAGTTGCTTTTCGAACGGTATATTTTATTTACAATTTCATTTACCCATTTACAATTTATAGGTCAAAAACAAATCCGTCTCATACCTAAACACACTCCCCTAATATTATAATAATTTTTGTACTTGAAGCGTTAGAAAACAAATATTTTCATTTTTTGATGAACATTTAATATAATGCAAGATTAACATTTATTGTTTTTAATTTAAAATACACTTTAACTTTAGTAAAAAATTCAAGTAACAAATGTAAAAATTATAAAAATTATTTTATAGATTTAAAAAATTGTTTTTTTACTTTTAAAAAATCTATTATTTTTAAGTTAAATCAATGTGTTGAATTTCTTTTTAATATTTATATATATATATATATATATATATATATATATATATATTAAATTTCAATATTTAGATAGTTGTTCGTATGTTAAAGGATAAATATAATAAATTTTAATATCTCGATATTACCCTTAAATATCCATCTTTTTCCATATATACATTGTTTCATGCTCAAATCTCTAGCTCACTGTATCTATAAACTGCGATATCATAAGTGATAGTTGCGTTGAGAATATTGATACTGGTGATTTCTAATTATTGTTAATTAATTACCACGCTGCTGGTTATTTGCCAACACAATACACTGTTCAATTAAAATCAATTATGTTAATTAAGCCAATAGTTCACGTATATATTTGATTTCATTAGAAGAAAATAAAACAAAGTTTATCTTATTAAGTATTAATTGCTTATCTTTTTGGTTACAATATATTAGTATAACTTGTTTCCAATTCTAATTTTAAAAAAATAATAAAAAAGGCCAATTCAAATAAATAATAAAATTGTAAATGAAATTAGAAATGAATAATTATTATCAGAATCAATTATTGTTAATTACAAATAACGATGAGAATTATTTCTCGCATTTTGAGATAAGAAACAATTTAACTTTTGTTTCATGAAGCAAAAAAAAAAAAGAAAATATAGAAACAATCTGAAAAACTTTTTGATGAGAAAATTTTTCATTCATTCATAATACGACAATAAAATGAAATTTACAAGGCGAGAAAAAAATGTTCAATTTTTTTAGAATATGTAATGTTGAAATAGAAATAACTTTTGTAAATATTTAATGATTTCTTAAATTATGGCAGATTTTTTTAATAATACTTCTATACTGAAATACATAAAAATAAAATTTTTTTTACACATTTATGGAAATAGTTAAAAAATATTTCAATATTAAATTACTATTAAAGTAAATTATTAATATTATTATTACTATTAATTGTTGATCATTTCCTTACTATTCAGTATTGTTAACTATTTGTTAATTGTTTACTATTTATTATTTATTTTTAATATTTCTCACCTTATTAATGTCATTTAACTATTAATTATTTGTTAACTATTTATTATTAACTGTCAACTATTTGTTTTTATATTTATTATTTTATTATTAATTATTTACTTACACTACCGTCGGGAATTATCGGTACGGCTGCACACGCACGGCCCAAAAACATACTAATCTTTAAATCACGATTTTTTTGTAAATACAAATGTCAGAAAATTAACAAATATACCATTCGAAAGATTATTAAATTCTACGATTAATGGTTCATAACTAAACATTTTAATAATTTATACAAAGATGGCAGCAATTGACAAATTTGACAAAAAAATTTTAAAAATACAATTTTTTTGGAAATTTTTTCAACCCCTGCACATTTTTTAAAAATTTCAGAAAAAATTTGAAACTTATATAGGTGAGATCATTTAAGTCTCATCTTTAATTTGAGACCAAAAGAATTCAAATATCTTATTCGGTTCGTGAGATATCTTTATAAACGTCCGAGCATGTTTTTTGACAAATGCATTGAATTAGTCGATTTTGAACGGTTTTTGGCTGAAAATGCTCGTCCGTTTATAACGATATCTCGCTAACCGATTAAGATTTTTGAATTCTTTTGGTCTTAAATTAAAGATGAGACTTGAATGATCACACCTATATAAGTTTCAAATTTTTTCTGCAATTTTTAAAAAATGAGCAGGGGTTGAAAAAATTTCCAAAAAAATTGTATTTTTAAAATTTTTTTTGTCAAATTTGTCAATTGCTGCAATCTTTGTATAAATTATTAAAATTTTCAGTTATGTACCATTAATCGTAGAATTTAATAATCTTTCGAATGGTATATTTGTTAATTTTCTGACATTTGTATTTACAAAAGAATCGTGATTTAAAGATTGGTATGTTTTTGGGCCATGCGCGTGCAGCCGTACCGATAATTCCCGACGGTAGTGTACTATTTATTATTACTATTTGTTAATTATTTGTTAATTATTTGTTATTAATTATGCTATTAATTGCTAACAATTGCTTCACTATGTATTGTTAACTATTTGTTAATAATTTATTATTAATTGTTTACTATTTATTATTTATTAAAAATATTTCTCACCTTATAAATGTCATTTTATTATTAACGATTTGTTAACTATTTATTAGTAATTGTTAACTATTTGTTTACTATTCATTATTAATTATTCAAATGTTTGCTTTTTATTTATTACCAATTGTTAACTATTTTTCTTATTATTTGTTATTAATTGCTAATTATTGCTTCACTTTTAAGTTTTGTTAATCATTTATTATTAATTGTTTATTGTTTGTTTATTATATAGTATTAATTGTCAACTTTTTGTTAACCATTTATTATTAACTGTCAACTATTTTTCTACTATTCAATGTTAATTGTTAATTATTTATTATTAAATGTTAACTATTCATTCATTATTTATTAATAATTAAAAAAGCAAATATTATAACAAATAACAATTATTTACAGATAGTTAACTATTAATAATAATTATAATAATTAATAGTTAACTATCTGAAAATAATTGTTATTCGTTATAATATTTGCTTTTTTTTCTTTAAGGAATTGTTTTTCTTTTTGGTGAAAAAAAATTAAAAAATTTCTATTTAGGTATTAATCAATTTTGAAAATCTTTGCGCAAAGACATTAAGATATAAATAAATATAGTAGTGTAATCAAATTGTTGACATTACCATACAAGTTTAAACAGATAAAACTTTAGCACTGTCATGCGGTATAAGAAATGTAAAATAAATGACAACTCATGCACGATCGAATGATTTCTATATAGTTCATAAACCTGTAAATCTTAAACATTTCAAGTTTATATTATATAATGTTAAACTGGAACAGAAGTTTCCAGAAAAGAATATTTTTAAGTCTAGAAAAAGAACTGAAAACTAAATAAAAAACTATTTTTTCGTAATTTTTAATGGAAAAAAATTATGTGTTTTATATTTGAACAGAATAATTATAATTTATTAAGTAACAACTTGAAAAGCATATTTTTGTACGAAACGTTATAAAACTAAAGATATTTTATTGTGCACGTAATATAAATAAAAGGAGTTAAAAAAATGTTTAAAATTATAAAAAGAAAATGAAAAGGAAAAAATTGTGAATCGATAAAGTCTGAATGCAGTAATCGGATGAACATTAATGTGAGGTGTGAAACGAATACTTTCTTCGTCTTTGAAGATATGTTCGAATGTTCGATAAATACGTGTCTTTGCATTGTGTGAATGTGATAGATGTTCCTTATGCCAGAACACTTTGGAATTCTCGTCGTCTTCATCCTCGTCGTCGTTGTCGTTGTCGTTTTCCTCCCGGACGAATGGGCACCTTCAGAAAACGATTATCCACACGAATGCGATTTCATGTTCCCTACTAAAACCTGTGGAACACCTTTTTACCAAAATACTTTTCTTATATCTTTTTCTGATGTCCACTAAATGACAAGGTCCCATAAAAGATGTCTAAAAGGAACATTAGACTTCTCAAATATATTAGTTTATTAAAACTAATAAATTACGCAAATATTTTATTTTAATTTTTCACTAAAGAAAAAAATTAGGGCAAGTGCACCAATTACTGCGAAATTACGGCCCAGTTGCCTTTTTAATAGAGAAAAAAGCATTTCTTTTGAGTGTCATCATGTGTGTTATAATCATTATTTTATATTATAAGAATATTGTTACTGTAACTTCTTCAAAATTATTTTCATCATTTCAGTGCAATTATTGTTTTCCAGAATTTTTAACTAAAATTCTTCTTTAAATCAATGATTATTTTTAATAATGTTTGAAAAAGTTCTTTAAGCATTTTCAAACCCTATAATGCTTTTAATATTCAAATATTATCTACAATTTTAACTGAAATTTATTTTTTAATCCATTTTTATTAGAAAATTCTATGAGAATTCAATTATATAATAAAATAAACAATTCATAAAATAATTGAATGTTTCTCAAAATTGAATTATAAGGAATTTTATCAACAAATTTTCAAATAATTTAATTCTTTCGGCGAATTTTAATAAAATTTTTAAGAATAATTACATTTTTCGAGGAATTTTGATTAAAATTGTACTAAAAATAATTCAATTCCTATAAAAAGAATTTTATTATTTATGAAAATAATTGAATCCCTGTAAAAAATTTCATTACTCATGAAAATAATCGAAATATTGCTAAGAAATTTATAAAAAAATTTTTAAATAATTGAATTCGCGTGAAATTTTTATTATTTATGAAAATAATAAAATGTTTGCGCAGAATTTTATTAGAACTTTTTGTGAAATATTGAATTCTTTTGGAAAATTTAATTAAAATAGTAGATATTGAGAATCATTGAATTGAGGAAAATTTTTGAAAATACATAATTGAATTTTTGCGAAGAATTTTATTAAAATTTTTGAAAATATTCGAATTTCAGGGAAGAATGTTATTAATTATAAAGATGATTGAAATTTTGACAAGAATATTAAAAAAATTTTGAACATAATTGAATTTTTGCGAATAATTTTATTACTTTATTACTTTTAAAAATAATTGAATTTTCGCAATCATTTTTTCCAATAAATTATATAAATTTTAAAAATCAAAATTTTAAACACTTTTTATTTATTTTATTGACAACCCATTGTTATCCCATTTTTTAACTTTACATAATTTACTGAAAAAAATCTCAGCTTTCCAATAAAAATGCTAAAAAAATAAAAAAAAGGTAGTTTCTGCAAAAATTGAAGAATTTGGTTTATTTTTGAAAAAAGAGGGGTTTAATAATTTTTCTTTCAAGAAAGGGTTTTGGACTTGAAAAGTAGCCAAAAAATTCTTTAAAATTCACTATATAAAAATTTTAATCACCGAATTTTTCTAGAAATTATGTCAATTTGAATAAAAACAATGTCCCTTAAGGGGGGGGGTAAGGGAAAAAAATCGATTTTTATTTTTAAAATTTTTTTATAGTAAAACATTTCCTAAAATATTTTGAGCTTTTGAGATGTTATATTCGAATGTTTTCTGATATAATTTTCTTACAAAACTGACTACTCAAAGTCAATGGTAATGCGGTTAAACGCGTTTTTCTCAAAACGACTTTTTCAAATACGTTTTTGGAAGAGCTTTGTCACCAGCTTGTTTGTTGATATTTTCGATTAAAAAAATGGGAAAATATTGTTAAAATGATACTTAATAATGTACAAAAGGTTTTAATGAATTTAATTTATCCGTATTTCTATAAAAAATTCACAAAAACAGTGTTCTTTTTCACGCTGAAACCCTTACCCCCCCACTTAAAATCAAAATTTTTGGATTTGGATATCAGTTCACGTGGAATTTCTGAACTAAAAAAGAGGTAATCTTGAAAACTGTAGAAATAATAATAAAATGGAAAAATTGCAAGTTGTCGTAAACAATGAAGTAAAAGAAATTATGCAGATCGAAAAGAAATGATGCAATAGAGACTCATTAGAAAATTCATTACCACACTTATCTTATCGTTCCCTAAACTTTATGAAATATAGAAACATTTTAATTGATGTCTACAGTCTCTCAGTGGTCGCATAAGCAGACGTTTGTCTTAACTTCAACGGAGAAAAAAAGGGAACAATTTGACATCCAAAAAGAAAATGTTGCAAGGAATAGAAAATATCTTAACCAAATATTCAAAATTACCATATTGGATTGCTGCTGTTGAAGGTGAGTGACATTTTTTTCCATTTATTTGTATTTAAAAGTACATAAATATTAATTTAGTGTTGAAGAAAAATTGTTTTCAAGTTTTAGTTACTAGATTTTAATTTATTATTAATTATTAATTACATAATATACATATTATATATAAATAATATAATAATAATTCTTTATTAATTAAAAAAAATTTAACGGTTGAACTGAAGAAATTTATTTCTTTTTAGTATTTGAAAAATTTTGATTATAATGTTTGTTTATGTAGCATTAAACGGTGTACAAATTTATTTTCCTTTCGTGCAATAGACAAAATTGAAAAATAATTATTTTACAATAAAACATTGTTACAACAATATTGTATAATAAAACGTAAAATTATAAATATTAACAACTAAATTAAAATTATAATAAAGTCTTTAACGTCCGAGTGGATTTTGTCTTAAATTAAAATTAATTACTACAATTTTTTTTATTAAGGTCATTTAAACCATTATAACGTCACAGTTTGTACAAAGTATGTGTTCTAAAACCATAATGTCATAATGGTTCAAATGCCCTAACTTAATTTTTTCAATTATTATAAATTTTAATTAAAAAACACACAAATCAATATTATATTTACAGAATGAAATTATTTAAAAATAAAAATAAGAAAATTGGAAATCATTCTTAAAAAACAATTTTTAATAATATTAATTTTCAACGAAAACAACAGTGCAACCAAGTATTCTCCCTCACAGCACGGGATATCCCGCGATTATCCCATTTCCATCCCGTGATATCCCTAGGATATCTCAGGGATATCCCATGAGATATCTCACGGGACGGAAATTTGGATATCTCAAGGACATCCACTGGATATCACTGGGATATTCACGGGATATGCAAAGTTTTCTTTCGTGGGTCATCCCGTGTGGGATATCCCGCGTGGGATATGTCAGCGCATGTGCAGGAAACGAAATGCACAATGAACGAAACTTTCCAAGTATCAAAGAGTGTGTGTCAAAGAGCTGTGAAATTATATTTAACGCATTTAAATTAGAAAAAGTTTGTTTAAATATTTGTTGCATTAAATTAACGAAAGTGGAAAATAAATATATTTATAAACTCAGCTTAAAGTGTACGATTTTTTAGTTACTTTTTTTGGTAGATAATATATTAAATTATTCAAATATTTATTCTAACTACATTCTAAACAAATAATGCATGAATTACTAGATTAATTACTGAAAATCCAGTATATTTTTCCCTTTAAACAAGAAAGAAATAAAATTTTATATGTATGTGGGCAGTTCCATACGAAAAGCAAATGGTGGATCAACGATTTTTCTTATAGTTTGTAACTTTGTAGTACTTGGGGTACTAAATAACTGTGCCAAACAGTTTTGCAAAAAAAAATTTTATTTTGCAAGATATTTAGATTTGAAAAATCGGAAACTGAAAAAAATGACTTTTTTTGAGAATTTTTATTTCGAAAACTATTAATTCTACAAGAAAAAGTCATTTATTCAAAATTGTAGAGAAAATGTCAATTTTTTATAATATTAAAAAAAAGTAAAGAAAAATTAATTTTTCAATAATTTGTTTAAACAATAATTGTGACGCCACCCAAAGAAAGGTACCTAAGAAGTTAGATTTATTTTTTAGTTATTTAATTTAGTTATTTATTTTTTAATTTGAGTTAGATTTATCTTGATTAAAAGTTCATTTTTAATTATTTGAATTTTAAACCAATATTAATTGAATAGTTTGAATATAATGAAAACTTGAAAACCAACAATTTTTAATTAATAATTAATTCTCTTTCTGTATTTTTACTCAAAAAATTTAAAACATAACCTCAAATTTTTTCCTTCTTAGGTACCTTTCTTGGGAATGCGTCACAATTTTTTATTGTTAAAAAGAGCAAAGGACATCATGGAATTTTCTAGAAAAATTATTTTCTCAAAATTTGAACCTTCTTTAATAAGTGGTTAAATTTTTAAAGAAGTGATTTTTGATGTTTTTGAGAAAAAAATTTTTGAAGTTTGCGCTACGAGTTTTTGTGCGTTGCGCTAACTAAGCAGCGCCTATGTCAGTGTATTTTAAAAGATGATTTGACCTTTACTGCTCGTCTCTAATACATTTATTAATTATATACGTATATATTATTATTATAAACAGTTCAACAATATATTTTTAACTTTTTTATAAACATTATTTTCCTTTTTTAACCCATTAATGGTCATGGGCACAGGAACGCATATAATATAAAAAGTAACTATTGGGATCCTGGCATATGGTCTAATAATAGTTTTTAACGTTAAAAATTAAAAAAAAAATTTTGGAACAATTTGTTATAAACAAATGAAGAAAAATTGATTTTCATAAAAAACTGATAGCGCTATTCGATTCGACGCAAAAAACTACTACGAGATCGTATATTACATAATTTTGAAAAAAAGACATACTGTTGTAAAAATGTTATAAACAATTAGCCTGCATTTATACTGTATGAGATAGAAGGATCGTTTTTTAAGTTAAAAATTTTTTTAAACAAAATTAGTTTAATTAGGAGAGTTTTTGACGTTAAAAATTTTTTAAACAAAATTTTTACCTAAGAAACGATTCTTCTACCTCATACAGTATAAATGCAGGCTAATTGTTTATAACATTTTTACAATAATATGTCTTTTTTTTAAATTACCTATGTTATATACGTTCTTGTAGTAGTTTTTGCGTCGAATCGAATGGCGCTATCAGTTTTTTATGAAAATCAATTTTTCTCCATTTGTTTATAACAAATTGTTCCGAAATTTTTTTTTTAATTTTTAACGTTAAAAACTATTATTAGACCATATGCCAGGATCCCAATAGTTACTTTTTAAACCTGCGTTCCTGTGCCCATGACCATTAATGGGTTAAAAAAGGAAAATAATGTTTTTAAAAAAGTTAAAAATATATTGTTAAACTGTTTATAATAATAATATATACGTATATAATTAATAAATGTATTAGAGACGAGCAGTAAAGGTCAAATCATCTTTTAAAATACACTGACATAGGCGCTGCTTAGTTAGCGCAACGCACAAAAACTCGTAGCGCAAACTTCAAAAATTTTTTTCTCAAAAACATCAAAAATCACTTCTTTAAAAATTTAACCACTTATTAAAGAAGGTTCAAATTTTGAGAAAATAATTTTTCTAGAAAATTCCATGATGTCCTTTGCTCTTTTTTTAACAATAAAAAATTATTGTTTAAACAAATTATTAAAAAATTGATTTTTCTTAACTTTTTTTTAATATTATAAAAAATTGACATTTTCTCTACAATTTTGAATAAATGACTTTTTCTTGTAGAATCAATACTTTTCAAAATAAAAATTCTCAAAAAAGTCATTTTTTTTAGTTTCTGATGTTTCAAATCTAAATATCTTGCAAAACAATTTTTTTTTGTAAAACTGTTTGGCACAGTTATTTAGTACCCCAAGTACTACAAAGTTACAAACTTTAAGAAAAATCGGTGATCCACCATTTGCTTTTCGTATGGAACTGAAACTATTGCTTACAACTTACATATGATTTATCAGTAATAGACAATATGAATTGACCAAAATTAAGGCTCCCAATTCAAGAACCGGTCGGACGCTCGGAAGACACGCGCTAGTACCAGTCGGGTAGCAGTGAGTGGCCCAGAGGCGCTCACTGCTCACTGACTGGCAGTTGCGCGTGTCGTCCGAGCGTCCGACCGGTTCTTGAATTGGGAGCCTCAATTATTTTAAACCCACACACAATAAATGTTTAGCGTTAAAAAGACATTTTATTGAATTCAACTAATGTTTATTAAATCACAAACAAATAACTTTGATATTAGTCAAATAATCTTTTATTTTTGAACTAATTTTTTTCTCATTCTAGTTAGAATTTAATAATGGTTTTTCAACTCTTTAAAGCTCTAATTATTTTTCAACATATTACTATTTCTCACGTAGCATATCCCGTGTGGAGAATATTTAGATATCCCGCGCGAGTCTCCCATGGGATGGAAATTTGGATATCTCTGAGATGTCACAAATATCCCAGGGATCTCCCTGGGATATCTCAATATCCCGCGAGATATCTCTAGGATATCCCTGGGATATCCTTTTGCTCAGAGGGCTATAATTTAATTTAACGGTAGAGATTCGTCATTTTTTTCATGTATTTATGAAAAAAATAAGGAAAATAATTAAATGATTTCATGTTTGTTTGTGTCAAATCAACATTAAAGGGTCCAAAATGCATCTAAAATTATTTAATTTCAGACTTACAATTAAAATTTTTATTAATTAGTTAATTTTAAAAAGCTTTAATTTTTAAATTCCTTTGAAAAATTAAAGTTATTCGAAAGGTTTCATTTAAAGTTCTGCAAAATTTGGGTTTTAAAACATTTCATTTATTATTTTCAATTTTTTTTTCATTTCATTTTTATTATTTAAAGAAAATTGAATATAACTTATATTCTCTAAATCTAAAACACATTTTTCTTTAAATTCTATAGAAAAATAAATTTTACGAAAATAGTATTTCTTTTCATTTTAATAGTAAATTAAAGATTGGATCAAAGTTTCCACTGAAATTTTGAATTTAATTATTCTCACAATAACATTTTTTAATTAACAAATTTTTTTTTATAAAATAGTGGTCCTATTTCTTCACTTGAGAACATGGAGAGACTAACTCAAAATGTTCGTCAATATTCTTAATTCTATAATTATTTATAATCAGATATTGCATCTAGATAGTTTGATATTTATAATAATATATAAATGGATTTCGATTCTTCCTTTACTGTAATTTGCGATATTTTTAGGATTTTGTGTCTAAGGGTTAAGTTACTTACTAAATAAATTGATATTAAAAATCTGGGTTGAAATATGGTAAGGGAAGTGATCCGGTTGTGGGCACCCTTTTGTTTTTGCCTCATAACATTTGTCCATGTACATATTATACAAATATATGTGTACGAATTTAAAGCTAGAGGTCTAAGGTGACTGTCAGTGAAGGAATTAAATTGATTCCTTTAAATAAAAAAGTTTTATTAGAAATTTAGTGAAATAGAAATTTTTTGACAAAACAATTTTTGTACCCGGTTGTGGGCACCCTTGAAAAATCCGCTAAAAATGAAAAAATATTAAAGGAAACCATTACAAATGAAGAAGAAATGAAAGTTTCTTTATTTTAAGAGACTTTGCCGGGATAAAGAACAAAAATGATGACACGTTTTCACACTATGCTCATCGCTAACAAAAGCATAATGCTTGCATGTGAAGTAGCTAGTACGCATACCATAACGCACTTCTAATGCACTGAACGACTATATTCATCGCATTTAATGGAGTTTGCGGCTGTCACATTCCTTGGCAGAAAGTTTAGATAGATGAGACAGTAGTCCACATCAGTGTCAGATAGTAGAGCCTCCTTAACATAAAGGTCCCCACAACCGGGAATGACAGTCATTTTTTAAAAAGACCAACACATTTTGTGATGCAGGATTTTGGTTAAACACGAAGGTAAATCACAAAATATAATGACAACACTGCAAAAAAAAAAATTAAACCCTTTTTTTCTGAACGAATCTACACCCATATGTTGCTCTTCGAAAACAATACAAAATTACTTTTTTATTAATTTAATGCAAATTTTCTTTATTATGCTCACAGCTATTACACAAATGCATATATTTGTTTCGTTATCAATACGAAAAGTCCGTATTGTCAACGAACACGACTTGCAATACTTAGATCAGTAAAGTATGCTTGCCGTCGAAGTTTACGTAGGGGTGCCCACAACCGGCGCACTTCCCCTACTATTAGTGGCTTTTTTAATAAAATAATTGCCATTAGTTGTTTACTTTTAAAAATAGTATCTAAGTAGTTTTATGTGATGAAAAAAGGATCGAAAAGTATCAAAATTTTATCTGGAAGTCAGGGAAAAAATAAAATTTTTATAGCAACCCATTTTAAATAATAATTTTGTAATGAAACTGAAGTTACCAATGTTTTTATTCGACGACATTTTTTTTGTTATTTTTTTATTTTAATGTTAAAATCCCTTTAAAAAATTGCAAAATGATCCAAATCGGAGGAAGAAGTAATTTTGATTTTTTTTCACTGAGTTTTCAAAAGTTACGAAATTTCAACTAAATTATTGTTTCTTCGACTTGGAAGCAATTTTTTTCTTTTGCTAATTGTTTATTTTAATATTAAAAGCCACTTAAAAAAATTATATGAGGATCCAAGGCGGAGAAAACAGTGATTTTGATTTTAAAAAAATCAAAATCACTCCTTTCTGCGCCTTGGATTCTCTTGAAATTTTTTTTTCAATGGCTTTTGATATTAAAATAAATAACTCACTGCTTTCCTCGACTTGGATCTTTTTGAAAGGGCTTTTAACATTAAAAGAACTTAGAATTTTTTTTAATTGACCATTTAAATTAACATTTAAATAAATAATTATCAAAAGAAAAACATTGCTACCAAGGCGAGAAATTATTAATTTACTTGAAATTCTCGGATTTTCGGAAAATCCGTGACAAAATACCAAAATCACGGTTTTTCCGACTCGGAACCCTTTGCATTTTTTAAAAGAACTTCTGACATTAGAATAAGTAATTATCAAAAGAACAAAATTACCACCGAGGCGAGGAAACAATAATTTAGTTGAAATTTCGTGATTTTTTAAAAATCTATAAGAAAAATAATAAGAACAACTGTTTCCCCACCTTTTTTTTATTTTAGGGTTTGGAGGGTTTACTTGGGTTAAATATAAACAAAAAAAAATTTGTATCCTAAACTTTTTAGAAAAAATTTTTTTAAAAAATTTTTTCGTTGAATCTTCGTTGGTATCTTTCAGTTTTATCTTAATTTTTAAGAAAGTAGTTGTTACTTAAGATAAAATGATTAAAGAATAACATTATTTAGAATAGAAAAGAAAAAAACTATACCATTATTTTCTCGTTTTCGTTTTTAAAAACGTTGCGGACTTCAGCAACATTAATTCTTGAAAATTTGATTTTTATTTTGTAAAATTTGCATTTACTGAAAAAATATTTCTCTTTACAGTTGGACTACTATCGTTGGGAATTGGTTTGATAAGCGGATGGACATCGCCCTACGTAGCGCAATTAAGCGAGGAAGGTTTACCATTTTGGGCTAGTCGCGATGAATGTTCATGGATAGTCGCTCTATTAAGTTTAGGTCGTATTTTCGGTGCAATTTTAGGCGCAATTGGTGTCGCAATATTCGGCAGTAAAAAAACGGCCTTTTTCGCTGGTATTCCACAATTAATCGGATGGCTACTATTGTCTGTCGCAAATTCAGTATTCATGATTTATATCTCAAGATTTCTATCAGGAATTTCTTTCGGCTTCTTTTTCGTCTGCTTTCCCCTCTACATTGGCGAGGTGTCAGATCCAAAAATTCGCGGCGCTCTTGTTGCATTTATTATGAATTGTCAACCATTGGGAACATTAATTGGCAATATAATGGGCGCCTATTTACCCATGTGGCAAACATCGGTTATTTCAATGATACCAACGGTGATATTTGTCGGGACATTTTTACTATTACCCGAATCGCCTCACTATTTGGTGAAAAAGGGAAATTATGATCAGGCCGAGAGTGCAATTAAATGGTATCATAGACAACTTGATTCAAGTTTGGAATTAGAGAACACTAAGCAATTTTTGAATACAAAAATTTCGCATAGCTTCAAAAATATTGTTGCCGAATTTAGTAAACCAAAAAACAGGAAGGCATTGATAATAGCCAATTTATTATTCGCTTTCATGCAAATTAGTGGACTTTATACGATTACCTTCTACATGGAAGTTATTTTACGAGAGGCACAAGTTGATATCATGGAGCCGAAAACGATTGTAATTATGGTAAACAGTATTGGAATTGTTGCCGGATGGTTTGGTATGTTTGCTATAGACAGATGCGGAAGAAGAATTCTATTAGGAGTCTCGAGTGCTGGAATTTGTGTATCTTTAATTTTACTCTCCGTCGATTCATCACTAATTCATTATGGTTTTGAAGCCAGAGAAATTCAATCGTTACCCATTCTTTCTGTCTTTATATTTCAAATTTTCATCTGCATTGGTATTATATCCGTACCTTGTACAATAATCAGTGAAATATTCTCACCCGACATTAAAGGATATGCCGCATCAATTACCAGTGTCACTTCCGGAATATTTTCCTTCATATCAAGCAAAACATATCAAGACTTTTTGAATATTTTACCAGCGGAATATGTTTTCGGATTTTACGCCATCACAATGTTCCTGCAAGTTGTCTACTGCTTCTTCATTCCCGAAACAAAGGGCAAAACACTGCAGGAGGTTCAAGAATTACTGGAGAAAAGATGAACACAAATCAAAAGTACCTAGTGAAGAGATTATTCAAGAACATTTCAGGAAAAATTATTTTCTATTTCTGACAATAAAAAATAGAAAATTTCTTATTTACAAAAGTAAATTAGAAAGTAAATTAAATTTACTTCTAATTACATATACTTAACTAATTTTTAAGGAATTGACGACCGTTAAATTTCACAAGTTTAACGAGAAAATTGTAAAAAAATATTCCAAGGCAATATCATAATAATTGACGATAATAGCGTGTTTGATGAACAAACATTTGCATAAAATTTTTGTGATTAGAAAATATATGTGTAGTTTTAATAATTCGTAATCTTGCAATGAATGACGTCATGTTTTTTTAAATAAATAGTTCATCATCGACAATTTTTACCATCATCATCATCTCATCAACTGATAAATTACATAAAACTGTCGCATCACTTTAAAAACATACTAACATCTATGATAAGTATAAGTAAAATTGTGTAATTTTCAGAAAGTTTTCGCTTTTTTATACTAGAAGATAAAAAATGTGTTCATCACGAAAAAAGGGACCTAAAAAGCTAAATTTTACAGGTTATTTTTATCTTTTTACCTTGCATATAATTCTTTTTTAATTTTATAAAATGACAAATAATTTTTATTACAAGTCTTAAATCCAATCAAGATTTAAACATATCCCGCCTGTAAATGAAAGTATGAGTAAAAGATGTTAAACTGCGATAAACTATGAGAAATAAGGCACTAATATTGTAAGTTTGACAAAGTATGTCAAAGTATTGCTAATGCAGGGTTGTCACAAGTTTTAGATTATCAATTTCCCTGACAATTTACTAACATTAAAATTATTTTCCCTGACAAAATTCTTTTCACAGGAAAATATAAAAGTTTACGGAAAATGAGTAAAATTTATGAAATTTAATAACCGATGGACCTCATCAGGCAAAAATTCTAAAACTGTAAACAGTTTTTCAAAAACTTTTACAATCAAATTACATTTAAAATAACATTCATGAATACATGTCAAATGTTGTCAAGTGGATATTTTGATTTAAAATTACATTATAATAAGAAGTAATAATTTTACAAGGTTTTTAAAATAAAAATACAAAAATATCAAATTTACACAAAAACATAACATAACCTCACTTACTTTTATTGTAAAAGTTTTTGAAGAATTTTAATTGTAAATATGACCATGATTTTTCCGAAATTTTAATAAGTCCAAAAAAGTACATTTTTATTTGCTTAATTCATTCGAATATAATTAAATTTTAAAAAATTATGATAAAAAATTCTAAGAATTAAGTATTTTTTAATAATATTTTAATGTAATATTTTTTACTCCAAAATGTTTAAAATAATTCTAAAATGTTATTTTTTTGTATGTATTTGAATTTTGGAAAATATGTAATTGAAAGTACTAAATTTTAAAAAATTAGAAGCTAATTTTCATTTATTTTCATTTTTAAATTTACGTTTAAAGATTTTTCATTAAAATTTTTGATAATTCATTTATTTCAAAATTTGCAATTAAAATTCTTCAAAAGATGATTTTCAAAAATTCTAACAAAATACTTGAAAAAAATTAATTATTTTCAATTAAATTTTACAAAATTTAAATAATTCAAAATCTTTTTAATTGTATATATTTCAAAAATTTAAATAGAAAAATGATTCAAAAATTATTTTCTAAAAGATTTGTTTATACTTATTTTTCGCACTATAAAAATCGAAATGAATTACATTTAATAGGTATGTTTTCGTTGCCTGAACTTCTTACACTTTAACACCTAACCTACACTATGATGTTCTCTTTGCCAGATGTGACGTAATTTTATCATACATTTCGCTACACTTTCTGCACCTACTCTTGAGGTGGTGTAAAAGTTACACTTAGTGCAGGCAACGAAAACATACCTAATACTAATAAATATATTTTCTTGCAATCTTTTGGAAGAAAAGTAGAAAAAGTCGGAATTTTTGAAAATAAGTCGAAAAAATCTCAATTTTCTAAATTTCCCTGACAAAAAATTTTTTTCCTGACATTACCCTGACTTTACTAACAAAAATTTTGTTTTACTGACATTTACCTGACTTTACTGACATGTGGCCATCCTGTAATGAGAGAACTTTGCATTTTTTTTATTTTTGACAAAGTATGGGAACCATAGGAAGAAAAAAGCTATTTTTTATATTTTCAAATCATGGGCAAAGTAAGGCAAAACATAGAAAGAAAAAAAACTATTTTTTTATATTTTTAGACTATGGCCCATGAAACGAGGTAAATTATTCTGTGACTCATTAATTTAACTCTTTAACGAATATGAAGTCACTTTTTAGAAATTAAAAATGGCGGATAAAATATGGTGGACAAATTTTCAAATTTGATCAAATTTAATTTAAACTTGTTACTCGGGGGTCACTTATAAGGAATTCTAGTTTCATACTGTTCTGTAATGTAAACAATTTTATTATTACAGGCTTTAAGCCTGTACTCCAATTGGAGTTGGTAACAGTTTTTTATACTTTTTAATATTATTTCCTCATTATTATATTTTTTTTATATTTAAACTTAACTTAACTGTTAAACTGTTACCAACTCAAATTGGTTCAAAAATAGAAAAATTGAAAGGTTTTGTGTTTATTTTAGTTAATTTAATGAAAAATCAATGTTTATTTTTGCCATTCTTTAACCATGGGATTCGCTAATTAGAAATACTTTGACACATTTTGTCAAACCACGCGGGTAATTAGTTTGATTTGAGAGTTAACCCTCTTAATGCATTACCACTAAAAAAAGCAAACATAAGTTGTAAGATTTTTCTTCTTAGGTCTCTTTGTTCGTGACTCAAATATAAAATATAAAAGAATAAAAAAATTGTTATAAGGTTAAATTTATCAAATTTTGTGAAAACGTAAAGAATGAAAAATGTGAAATTTACTTACATATGTATTGTAAAAGAAAGAAAATAATAAATAAATTTTGGAAAATAACAATTTCGGCGAATCACTGACGTGAATGAACATGTAAACGGATGACCTAAATTTTCAAGGAGTAAGTTTCCGAATAAAACGTAATGGCGACGGTGGGATCGATGATGCATGCAGTTTTCGCATTGCAACCATCTTCCACTTCCGATTGATTCACCATTTCTTTTTTTCTCTAACTACCCGGGAAGTAATTATTTACCAAATGTATAATTAGATTATTAAAAAGGATCTTTTCTTCCAATTTTATTAAAAGAAAGAAAACTCCATAAAAAATACATTTTCCATTTCATTTACAGTATTTTTGGGAAAATATCTACAGTTTAGTTATTAAACATTTTAATATTTAATTTTTAAGAAAAAATTAAACAAAATGTTAGAAATTTTTTCCCAACAGAAATTTGAATTAAAAATTAAAAAAAAAAATCTTTATATAAAAGTAAAAAAAACTGCAATTGAAAATTTTCAAAAGGTAGAAATCTCGAAAATAAAGTATTAAAATAATTTTTAAATCCTCCTCGAAGAACTAAATCACAAGAAACATGATGGTTGAGTGCGCAAAAATACACAAAATACATAAATATACCGAAGACATCATAAACATAAATAATAACACATGGAAAAGATTCAACACATTTATAGTTCAAAAACATATTTTTCTAAAATATATGAAAGCAGCAATCACGAAGCGACCATAAAGTTCTTCTTTAAAAAAAATAGAAAAAAAAATAACAGAAGAAAATATGAATTCGTTTGACTTTTATTATTCTTTTTTTTAACAGGAAATGTCTGACGAGAATTTTTACACCCTTATATATAGTATATTTTTACAATGTGCGCTTTACTTGCCGCATATATAGTCCATAGTCGGTAAAAAATGGCAAAATTATGATAACGATCAATGATGAATATGAGGGAAATTTTTCCTCCACTAGAAAATTATTTTGAATTTACGTGTGTAAGTAAAATTAATCCTCTAAATAAATAAAAGAATGTATTTTTTTAATAATTAGACAGGGTTGACATACATAAATTTGATTTTGTTTTTCCTTGACTTTTTCTGACTTATCAGAATTTTGACTTTTTCCGATTAACTATATAATAAACAAGTTGTAAATCCAGACGTTCATTACATGAACATTTTGCTTCCTCTTTACGATCAGCAAAAAAAATTTGCTTCTTCGTGGAGGAAGCATTAACGATAAATATATTTCATTTTTAAATCATTTTTAATACAATTTAACATTTATAAAATAAAGTGCATTCGTCTTAATAAAAAAAATAAAATTTTCTTATACAGTAATATGAATCTAAATAAACAAAAAAATTTTTAGTAAAAAAGTGAATTTTTCAAATTTGATTGTAATTAATTCTATAATTTTCAATAGAATATATACTTTATATACATCAATCGATTCGTCTTGATGCAAAGAATAAGATTTTTGATTTATTTTTTAATAAATAATAACATTCTATTGTACAGCAACATGATTTTTAAGAAAAAATGAATTTTTATTAAAAGTGCAAATTTTTTGTCTATAATTGGTTTTAATTCTATAAATTTAAGTAAAATGTATACTTTATATATACCAATCGATCCGTCTTGGTGTAAAGAATAAGATTTTAGAAATAAATAAGTAAGATTTTCTTATACGGCAACATAATTTTGCGGAAAGAACTCATTTTTTGATAAAAATGCGAATTTTTCAGCTTTAATTGTGATTAACTCTGTAAATTCTCATACAATTTATACTTTTTATATACCAATCGATTCGTCTTGATGCAAAGAATAAGATTTTATTATATATTAACTTCAATAACCAACTTAAAAAAATTTTTTAGAAAAAAGTCAAAAAAAAAAAATTTTTCTGAGAATTTTTTAAAGTCTATCAATCCATTTCGAGATATTTTTATGATAAATATACCTGGTAAATTTTAGCCAAATTCGTTAAAACCTCTTCGAGTTATCGTGTTCACAAAAATCGGGATCCACACACACACACATACACACATCCATACATACATCCGGACAATTGTTCAGGGTCTCAAATAACATAGTCCTATATAGAAGAAAATTTGTTAAAAGGATTTTTAGAAATTTTGTAAATTAAACGACTACAAAGCTTCCTCACGAGGAAGCAAAATGAATTCAATGGGACTTTAATATTATAAAAAGAATAAAATTTTTAAAAGCAAAAATATAATTTAATAATTAAATGTTGTCTATTTTAACATCAAAATCCAGTTACTATGTGATAATGTTATTTTCAAAAAGGAATTGAAATATTTAAATTTTAAAAATCTAATTTTTTAGAATTTTAAATAAAATTCATCTCTTTGTAAAATTCAATAATTATTTAACAATTATTAAATTAAAATTCTTTGAAAATTAAATATTATTTAAAAATTTCTAATTATAGGTAGGGGAGAGTGGGGCGAGCCGGCCATACTAACGGTTTTCTTACTCTTGTGACTAAACGAATTAACCGATTTCATTTTTCAATAGCTTGTTCGAAAGATCATTTAATTGCTGAACTTTTTCCTAGAGACACCTATACTTTATCTTTTATTGTTTAGTTGCTGTGTTAACTTTAAAAAAATTTGCAACCTGGCCGGTTTGACCCACCCCCTGGGGTAAACCGGCCACCTAGGTTTTTTATCTATAATATTGCATTTGTATAATCTACAATAACATCAAACATAAAGAATCATGTGAACAATGGTTGTAATAATCTAAATAATAATACAGGATTGAATTTTAATTAAATAAATAATTTTTTTAATAACAAAACAAAAATGTTTAAAATTAACAGGGGAACAATATTAAAGGGTCGAATTCTCATTGGAAGAGAATTATTTTTCATTGAAAGTAAATATTTTAATGAAAAAAACATTCTAATTAATAATAATTTTCATGAAACTCTGATACAATGAAAATATCCTATGGCCGGTTTGCCCCACAGGCTCATTTTGAGAATAAATGTTTGTCAAAAAGAAACGCTTTGCAAATTCATCAAAGTTTTTGGTGGTAAATATTCCTGAGGTGTGTACCTTCAAAACCTAAGACCTAATATTTGGAAATATTACACGATTTTCTCAGAATTAAAAAAAAATTCGTAAAAGTGTAGAAAAAACTAAAAAAAAACTTTGTTC